AGCAGGAAGCTGGACTACAGACCTTCTGTCCTATGATCTGGATGTGAAGAAAGCAATAATGGTGTTCAAACTCCTCTCTCAAGGACTCATCTTTTAGAGTCATTTTCTTAGAAATGCTCCCTCAGGCCTCCTTAGGGTATTTTCCCAATACCAAACCCTCTTCATTGCTTCATCTTTGTTATTCATTAACCAGTGTTTTTTGGTAGCTATAATTCCCACTCGGAGCTGGTGACACCCAAGACCTTACCATTGGCCTTTCTCACTCTACTATGGCTTTCCTAGATATTTCGCTGTCTTTTTTCCAAATGTCCCTGAGATATACCACAGAGTCTCCTTTGAATCACTTTACCTGCTTTGTGTCTAAGACAGCATAGGATGAAGCAGAGAAACTACTGTCCACTCTAACAAATCTTGTCTTTTTACGTTCATGGAACCAAGCACTTTGGATGTTCTCCAAGAATGTTAATCTTTTGAGGAATAATGAACATCTTTACACTAAGGATGGCTAACTGTGTAACAGACTAGATGGCATTATTTTCTAAATCTACTAAGAAGTCTACTACCACAGTAATCAGCACATTCTCTATTATAGCATGTGCACTGTTGCAGCTTACATGAAGAGCATGTCTATTCTTGACACCTGTGGGAAACCATCTACATGGACATTGAACTCCACCAAATATTGATGCACCCAGGAGAAGTTTGGTCTGTGGGGGGTCAGAGAAACTAAGGCAATGGAGATGGATCTCTGATCTCTACCACCCTATGTAGTGTGAACCCACTCTTGCAGATACTGCTAGAAGCATCTGTGGTCTTAAGGGCTATGGGCTCAGAGCCACCCTTGAGCAGGCAAATATACTATATATCTCAAAGAATGAAGGCTCCTACTAAGTATGTTCTTTTTTTCCCGTTGCCTTCAGCAAAAGACCCACTGTAGTTCTAAGAAATCAGTTTCTTGGGTTTTCAGTTGAATGAAAACCCAAGGGGTTTTTTTCAGTTCTGTAAGAGCGCGAAGTTTCCTGCTATTAAACTGTCCTTTTTTTGTGACTTATTCTAACTTCTCTTTGACTTGGAAACAGTAACTGGAGTGTTTTTTCTAATTCCTGATATTTAATTCTTCTATGATTTTTGATGGCAGGTTTTGTATTTATTTTGCAGTTGACTGAAAAAAAACAAGCCCAACCATTCACAGCTTAGCCTTAAAACTGCAGGCT